AGAATTGAGTCGGGGGGGGGGGTCTTGCTTCCATCCCAGAAGAGCCCCCAAATGTGATAGCTCGGACCCCAGAATAAAATCTAAGGAAGCAAAAAATTAAGGAATTTGGAGCAAAGGCTTTATTTTAGGCCAGGCCTGGTGATGCAGCCTCCAGTAGCCAATATGGAAGACTGCGCGCCTAACAGCTAAAGGGCACGGTTTTTATCTTGTAAAACCTGAAAACAGCTGCTGGTCTTACAATGCGAGGAGGGGAGGTGGACTACAGAACAGGAACACGGCAATTACATTTTTTTGGGAAGAGCAAGGTTCAGGTAAGGGTTGGGCTAACAAGCAAGTTTAGATTAGGCAAACATCCTCTGGGGGAAGGCACATCCTGCAAATAAGCAAGTTACCCTACAAACAAGCAAGTTTCCCTGCAAACAAGCAAGTTTAGATTAGGAAGACATCCTGTTCTGCTCTTAGAGTTACCTTTGATCTTTTTCTTGCCTCGGAGGAGACTTATGAGGGGTTTTTTTATATATAGGTTATAACACTTTAGAGATAACAAGATAAATATGCTCAGCTGCAGACTGGCCTGTTAGCTCATCCTATGATTAGCTGTTATTAAAATCAGGGATGAGCCATTGTCCCCCTCTGCCTTAGTTTTTGCTGAGAGACTGAACACCAATGGCCACATTGTGGGTCCAGTAGAATTTGGGCCCACTTGTGAGCAAACAAACCTAGGACCTATTGTTACAGGCAGCTGAGTTAGTTAAAAATACTATAAGCAGTGAGGCAGGGCTGGGTCTTTGAAGGAGCCAATGCAGAAGCCCAGATACTTTGCAACTATGAGGGAGATAGACACCTCCTGCTGTGGGCCCATCCTCAAGACAAAAGACCAAGAAAATGCATGCATATCCTAAGGACTGATATTCTAAATAGTTCCCTACCACCCTGAGGAAGTTAGGAGTCACCATTCCAGCCCCCTATGGAAGAGTCACTGCTCTCTAAGAATGGCCGCTTTCTACAGGACTCCCTTCCCCACTTGTTCCTAATTTAATCAATTTCACTTGAACTATTAATCTTATTGGCTAAGCATAGTTCTGGCCCACCTTATGCCCATCTGCCTTGTGAGTTCCCGGTATTCCCTAACTTAAACCTGTCTCACCCCATGATTTTACTCTGGAAAAGACAGAGTCCTTGCCAACCCGCTCAGGACCCCTTCTGTCTCTCTCAGACAAAAGTTTTATTTCTCTCAGTATTCTACTCTTAACCTCTGTTGTTGCTGAAATTCATTCTTTGATTTTAGAGAACACAAGTACCAGGCATAATAGATCAGGAGTTTTATCCCCCTATATCACTATGACAACCAGCCCAGGAAGCCACAGACTACACCTTTAAGTCAGACTTGTGGGAAGTGAGCCCGGCCTCTCTATCAGTAAGTCCATGAAGCTATAATACCTGGAGTAATTGGCCTAAAATGGCCAGGTTATGATAAATAATGGGCAGCTTTCCTAATTTCTGTACTTGCTTTCAACCAGACAAAGCAAAATATGTAGCTCTGATTGAGGACACAGGTTGTGCTTCTTTTCAGCTAGCCTACCGGCAGCTTCCTCATACCGGCAGTGTCCAACTTGGGCACCCCTGACACCATCCCCTTTAAAGCTTCCCCACTCCTCTTGGGTGTCTCCATCAAAATGTGGGTAATACAGGCTCACTCATTACTCAGGCTCTGAATAAATAGCCTTCCCTGTTCTCACTTGATAGGTGTTCATGTATTTCCATACTGCATTTGTAAAATGAAAGAGTGGAAGGTGGGTGCAAGGGCTCATGCTTGCAACCTTAGCACCCTGGAAGTGGGCGCTTTGTCAGAATGAAGTGAGGAATGCAGTCCAAAGGAGTTACAAAAAGAGGCAGGAAGTTTTCTCTGTCTTTCATCCACTATGACTAAGGGTTGTCCAGTTCCTTGTTTTCAAGAATTCAGGTCTTTCTCAATATAGCTCACCATAACTTATCTGTTGTCCTTTTATATGGATGGAGAACAGTGGGACATTCCCCTGCTAGAGTTTCAATTTCTGGAAGACAGATACGTGCTTTTCCCTACTTTTAATCTGCTCCATCTTGGCATGGTATAGTGCTGCAGTATTAATAACACACAGAACTTGAAATAAAAAGACTTACTGATTTTATTAATACCAAAAAATTGAAATACTAGGGTATAAATCAAAGGTTTAAAAGATCTCTGTAGACCTAAGGCTATAGTATGGCATTCAAGAGCAAGAGAGTGGAAAGTGTTTAAAAAGGAAATCAAAGAAAAAAAATTTAAATTGCTTTTCATCTGCAAGTGATACTTAGCTTTTAAAAAAAATGAGCCAAAGACTTTTGCCTTTGCTAGAACATGGACAACTTGTGCTGCTGTGCACATGGGGCCTTGCTTGCCGCAGGCAGCATTATAAGGGAGAAAGGATGTCTGAATACGATTGCCCCGTTATATCATTGGGAAGAGATCAGGTGACTCTCAACCCAAATGTCAGGAACACAATGAATCAGTCTCTGAGTGGGAAGAGACCAGGATGCAGAGGCCATGGATTACAAGAGTGCTAACACCTTCTGGATGCATCCTTATTCTTACTAAGGAAAGAAACAGACTAGTCACAGAGAACGGGGTAGCTGCGGTTTATAGAGTGAGAGCGATGTCTAAAGTTGCACAGTAAGATATGATAGAGCTGGCACCAATATGCAGGTCTCTGCAGTTTTAGGACCCATAAACCTTGATTCTATTGAAAAGGAAATAAAAGTCTTAGAAATGAAGAATGCTTTGTCGATGACATACTTGTTCACATCAAAATATTGGATGGGATCTACTAAACAGTTCTAGAACTAGTTAGAAACATTAGTGAGATTATAGAATTCAAGACTCAAGAAAGAAAAATCAATCGTGTTTCCATAGACCACCAACACACATGGAACTTGAAATAAAAAAACTTAATTATATTAATACCAAAAAATTGAAATACTGGGGGATAAATTAGAAATCAAAGATTTAAAAGATCTCTGTAGACTATAAAAGCTATAGACCACTGCTGGGAGAAATTAAATATGACTAAGAAATGGAGAAATGTGCCACATTCATGAGTCAAAAGACTTAATACTGGGGCTGGGGATTTAGCTCAGCGGCATAAGCACCTGCCTTGCAAGCAGGCGGTCGTGAGTTCGATCCCCGGTACCGATAAAAAATGAAAAAGCCAAAAAAAAAAAAAAAAAAAAGAAAAAAGACTTAATACTATTAGGATGTCAGTTTTCCTAAGACTGATCTATGAATTCAGTGCAATCATACAATAAAGATTCCAGAAGTGTGTTTTAGGTAGAAGTTGACCAAATAATTTAAAATTCATGTGAAAAATGAAACAGACCTAAAATTGTTAAAACAACTTTGGAGAATAAAATTAGAGAATTAATCCTATCTGATTTCAAATTTATCTAAAGCTGTGGCAATTAAGACTGTGTGCTATTGGTGTAAAGATAGACAAATTTATCAGCAGAAGAGAAAGCCAAGAGAGAGACCCATATGGACATGGACAGCTGGTTTTCAACACAAGTATAAGGTGATTCAGTGAAGATAAAACAATCTTTTCAAGAAATGGTGTTATTATAATTGGATAGTCTTATCTCACATTATTAAAGCTTAGCTGTAATGGACTGTATGTGTATAATCTATAACTGAGAATTTAAAAAATCATTGTGATTTTGGGTTAGTCAAAAATATTTTAGATAGGACACCAAAAACACATTCCATAACAAACTGGTAAGTTGGACTTCATCCATGTCAAAATTTATGCTTTTAGACACAGAAGAAAATAAAAACATAATTCATAGTGTGGGAGAGAATATTTGTACATTCCATATATAACAAAGACTTGTATCCTCAAAATATAAAGGGTATTCAATGATCAGAAACCAGTGCATTTAAAAGTGGGTAAAAATTTTTAACAAACACCAAAGAAGATAAATAGATGTCAAAGCAAGATATGAAAAGATGATGCTCACCATCATTTGTAATTAGTAAAAGTAAATTAAAACCACAATGAGATATATTATTCCACATTATTCCTATTAGGATGATTATAATTAAAGAGATTCCCTGCATCAAGTGCTATGGGGACTGAAACTGTCTTATGCAAATAAAATTGTATACCTACTTTAGAAAATTGTTGGAATTTTTTAAGTTAAGTGAATCTTCCATATGACATTTATCCAAGAGAAAACAAAGTATATGTCTGTACATAGACTTGTCCATGAGAATGCTAGCTTCATTTTTAATCACAAACAATTTAACACAACCTAAATCTGTCAGTGAGTGAATGGATAAGCAACCTTTTTATGTTCGTTATCTTGATGGCCATGAGGTTTTAGAGTATAAATTTATGTCAAAACATTGAATTGTATAATTCAATTATATGCAGTTTTTTGCATGCCAATTTCAGCTCAGTCATGCTGTTAAAAAATAACTGAAGTCTGGACATTTCTTTTTCTAGGCACTGGAGATGACACAGGTATATAAAGGAAGAGATTAAGGTTAGTAGGACAGGCGTCACCGGGAGAACATGGCGGACAGATAACAGCAAGTACTGGAGGCTCTCTGAAAGACTTGGCTCAGAAGCCAGGAATGGTGCGGACTAAGGAGATATAAGCAGGTGGAGATATGCTCTGCTGACTCAGGAACGAACTGGGCTGAGAGAAACCAACTTGGAATGCAGTCCTGGTGCTAAAACAGGAACAGAAAAGCCTCGGTGTGGAGGCTGGAGCCCGCGCCATTGGAAGCCACGATTTGGGTTTCCCGCCGCGCGGCGGCTGGCTGCCTCTACAGCGGCTCGGCAAGGAGAGAGACGCGCAGAAGCTCTGAGAACGGCAATCTGCAAACGGCAGGGAGGCGTGCACTGACTTGTGGTGAGGTGAGTGAGAGAAACTGACACTCTACCACAGTTTGACTCCAGCGGAGGACTTTCTGGGCCCGAGCAGTCCTGCGGGAGCAGGGTGCGGTGGCAACTCCAGCCACACATCCCCCTCTCGGGCGGGATTGGTGAAAAGTGCCTGGACTGCGTGACACTGCCGGTGGACCCGGTAGGCTGTCCCAACCCAGATCCCAGAGCCTGACGGTGCCCGGGAGGGGCGACGAGTAGACTGCCTGGTCCGTAACTCCCTGGTGCGCAGCGGTGAGCGGGAACACCTAACCGGTGCAATTAGATCAGGCTGTGGCTGACTGGGAGAGAAGCTGGGCCTCTTATATAAGTTTGCATATATACGGAACAGAGAATATGGGAAGAGGCAGCAATAAGAAAGGCTCCTCAGCCCCCAATTCTGAGAAACAGGCAATAGCGGACACCGCACCAATAGACATAAAGCACCATATAGAGAGCCTCATAGACCAATTCAGGAATGAAGTTATCAACGACCTGAAGCTAGAAGTATGCAGAATAGTTAGAGAAATGCTAAGCACCACCCAAGAAAAAACAGATGGTGGAATGGAAGAACAGAAAAAGAGGGGAGAATTGTTTGATGGAGAAAACAGAGAAAGCATAGAATATGTGAAGCAGGTTCAAAGGGACTAACAAGATACTAAGAAGTCTATCGAAGACTGGCATAACAGCTTGAAAGAAACTAAGGACAGACTATCTGAACTGGAGGGCAGACTTGTAATATGGGAGAATGAAATGAAAAACTTCTTAAAAATAACAAAGAAACAAACAGCAATAATACAAAGACAAAAAGATGATAAGAGGATCCATAACTTAAGGATTAAGAACATAAAAGAAGAAGTAGGGACACAAACAAGTGAACTACAAAAGCTACTCACAGAAATAATCCAGGAGAATTTTCCTAATTTAGAAAAAGGTAAAGATACTCAGATGTATGAGGCATACAGGACCCCAGCTACTTAAACCCAAACAGAGCAACACCCAGGCATATAATAATAAAAATTCCAGAAATTCAATACAAGAATAGAATATTAAAAGCTGTCAGAGACAAGAAACAGACCACTTACAAGGGAACACCCATCAGAATTACAGCAGATTTCTCTGCACAAACCATCAAATCACGAAGAGCGTGGGGGGAAATAATTCAAGCTTTGAAAGATAATAATCTCCAGCCAAGATTGAGATATCCTGCACAACTATCCCTGGAAATTGATGGAAAAACAAGGTGCTTCCAGGATAAAGAGGAACTGGGGGAATTTGCAACTACCAGTTCAACTCTACAGAGAGTATTGCAGGATATTCTTAAAAAAGAAAAATACAAAGAATCCAGAAATAGTGGCGGGGAGGCCACAACAAATGGAGCAGAGAACAAAATGAAGAAGACAAACTGACAGCTACTGACAGAAAAAGAGCTCAACGGAAATGAGGCAGAGAAGATTGGATGATAGAAACAGCTATTTTGGAGAAAACGACATCTTAACAGGTAATACTGATTTAGTATCATCTTGTTTTGAAGTCTCATCTAACTTTTGTCCTTCTGTCTCCAATGGTCTAAATAGGTTGTATCTTATTGGATTTTATTATGTACGATAGTGTAAGCAAAAACCTTTTAAAGACAAGATTATACAGAAACCATTGTTCATTTTCTGTTAGTCGATTCTAAATACTCTGTAATGCTGTCATTCTCTTAAATGGCTTTACATCGTTTTGATATACTTAATGCTGCAGTATACGAAGTTGTACTCAAGGATTTCAAGGAAAGAGACAATATGGTAACTACTTTTAGGTTAGGATTATCTGGTGGTGAAACACTATTCTGCTTAAATGGTTATGTTTTGATCTGCGCTATTTCGTTGTTATGCCCTCTTTTATCTCACTCTCTACTCCATTATTTACTTTTTTATCTTTATCCTTTTAATTAAAGGAAAAAAAATAGCAGGATATATTATAGTAACCCACTTTGACTTTCCATTACCTCAATTTAAAGCCCTGTATTACTTTCACCATCTGGTTTTTAACTGATGTTCCCCTATTCTGTTTTGCTGGATAGTATCAGGTTCGAAAGTTTAGGCATCAGCTGTGAAGATAATGAGATTCATTATAACGCCCATTCTCGTTGACTTTTATCAACCTTTGAAGACCTACAACGTCTCCAATGTTTTGGTTTTGTTGGTTTTATTCTTTACTGTTTTGTTCAATTGTATTATAACTAACGATATAGGCAATTCTATTAGAGATAGTGGGAGGCATTATGGTAACCATTGTTGATCACCTTGTATTATGTTTTTACATTATCTATTATGTCCACCCTTATATAACTGCATGTATATTTAAGTGTATAAGATAGAAAATGATATCACAGAGTTTTATTGGATCATTGAACAGAACTGTTTGCAGTATCATTGATGGAATGTCCACTTTACAAGCTTTAATTTTGTGACTTGAACAATTATTTCTAAGATGACAATATGTAATCCATTAACTAGTGATTTCCTACTGTTCATTTTTTTTCTGTAAATCTGTATAACTTGTACCCTTTCTCTGCTTTTTTTTTTCTTTTCTCCTTAAATAAAATTAAAAAAAAAAAGGTTAGTAGGACAAGTCACTGTCCAGGAGTATAAGGCTCAGGGACTAAGGGAAGTCATTCACGTGGCTGTTAAATTTCCCTAAAAGGAGCCAACCAAAGACCATTAAAGAATGAACCAGGCCAACTAGTGTGGCACCTTGGGAGGCACCACCTTTGAGCTTCTGCTCCCTCAGGGAAGTGGCTCAATACTGCACTGATGGCAGATTCCTCACCACATGGGTTACATTTCAAAGTCCAAAATAATTCTATTGAGATTTTTGGTTTGCTTCTTTATTCTCCCTCCCCCTGGTATGCAAGTGATTTAGATACTTATAAAGATACATGAAATCCGATGTGCTGGGGACTTGGAGGACCTACCAAGAAATCAATTAGCCAGCCTTTCTGGTAAGCTGCTCAGTCTGCCTTGCTTCCAGAAAGGCAGAATTCAGATAAGCGCCTCACCTCTCACGAGCTTACCCTTGAGATTCAAACACCGCGTTGTCACATGTGCTCCAGCCCCCAAGCAACCAGCTGGTTTGGAGGAAGATAGCAACTAAGGCACATAAAGCAACTAAATGCTTGTATTGTTTGGTTGATTCTTCAGGCTTGGGGCTGGCGGTCTGAGCATCTCTTGGGTGGATGACAACGTGCAATATAGTAAATATGGGGGATTTCTTTCTGTCTTGTCTTTGAGGTCCAATATTGTTCTCACTGTTTTGCTTTGTTCTGATTAATTATTTTGCTTTATTCAATATTCTGTTTTTTTTTATTTAAAGAGGAAAAAAAAGAAAGGACATAAAAAAACAAAGCAGTAAAAGGATACAAATAATACAGTATTTCAAGAAAAAAAATATACAGTAAGAAATCACCAGTTAATAGGTTACATATTATCTTCCCAGGAACAGTTGTCCAAATTACAAAATTAAAGAATATAAAGTGGACATTCATACAGTGAAATTGGAGACAGTTCTGTTCAATGATCCAACAAAAGCTCAGTAATATGGTTTTCCATCCTACATACTCGAACGTACCTGCGGTTATATCCCTTAGTCCACCTTCCTTTCCTCTCTTGACTGATTTTATTCTGTTTTGTTTTGGGTTTGACTTTGCGATATCTGATGGAATGGACAGCTATTGTGAAGATAACAAGATATACTATGATAGCTTTTGATGTTTTCCTAGTATCCTGCTTTGAGGTTCAATACCAATTTTGCTGACTTGTTTTGATTGGCTTTGTTCTATTTTGTTTTGTTGGATTTTACTACCTTTAAAATTTAAAAAAAATGTATGTAGTGCCACAAGGTTAAAGGTAAATAAATGAAACCCTTGGAATACAGATAATACAATGAAGTTGAGGCAAGGTTGTTCTGTAAAGGACATAGCATAAGGCTCTGGGTCATAATTTGCTAGAAGGATCATAATTCGGCTTTGAGATTTCCCGAGTCTGGAACAAAGAGGGAAATATGATCATTACAAAACTTAGCAACCACTTTGCCTAAATCATTGCATTCAGTCTTCACATACCCTGCATGGTAGGTATATTCATCCCCATCAATGGCAGAGGTCAGCTGATTTTCTGAAGCTTTCAGGGAAGTGGTTACTATGTGATAACAACTTCCTCTTTGTTCTGCATAAAGGAACAGTCCATTTTTTAAATCAATCTTTTCACTGAGAATTCAAAAATATATAGGGAAATAAATATATAAATAAAAATACATAAATACATATACATGTAATCTGTTTGAAGATATTAGAGTAGAAGTAAGATAGGCTTAATACAGGGTAAAGATCTGAGAGATCGAAACTCATAAAAGTAAGTGTAGCACAGGAGGGGCTGCTTTTCCCCTAGTGATAAAAATCTAAATTTACATATAATTTTTTATAAACCTACAGAATTGAGAGCAAATACAGGTGCTCAGGGCCTGTTGAGGAAAGGCCCTAGTAACCTTTTATGTCAAGCTTCAGGAAGAGACCCCAAAGCATAGTACTTTAAGAATAATTACAGATTATAAATACTTTAAATATAATGAGCTCAGAAAACTAGCTTTGAACAACTTCAACCTAGGATTTAATTAAGGCAATTTGAGGCTACAAATGCCCTACCCTTTTCCTAATAAAAAATAAAAATTTACCCTAAAATAAAATTATATTATAAGCTTCAAATTATCCTTGTAATTTTCATATAGAATGTCTGGATCTTAAATAGAAATAACCAGCATTTGAAGAGGCAAAATAACATGATTATAAAATTAAATTAATAGAAAAAGACACAAAAGGACGTCAGAGAATGGAGTTACCAGATAAACTTTAAAGTAACTATGATAAATGTATGCAATGAGGGACAAGGCTATTTTAACAAAGAACCAGAAATTATAAAAAAAAAAAAAAAAAAAAAAAAAAAGAAGAAGAACAGATTTGAAATAGTGGAATTGTAATCTCAGCACCCAGGAGGTTGAGGCTGGAAGACCACCATGAATTCAAGACCAGTCTGGGCTATATAGTGAGTTCAAAGCTGCCTAGACTACATAGTGAGATGACTCAGTTCTCACCTACTTTTACTATTACGGGCAGGTCTAAAATCAGCTTGCTCTATGAATTCTGGCCCTGTAGCTCTTGTATGGGAGACTTGTTTTGGGGCCAGACTTTTGTTAGTAGTATTCTTTTAAAGCAGTCTCTCGGGTTCCCTAAACAGACAAGATTAAAAATTTGGGTTAGCCAGTTTATGTGTTTTTCCTAATTGGGGCACTCCCATGAACAATTTGTCAGGTATTTGTTCCTATAAAACATGGGTAGCAGGTAAAAAGTTTTAGCCATCGTGCCTCTCTGATCTGACATTTTGTTAGTGAGAGACACTGAGTGTGAAACAGTAAGGTATAAAATCACATTGATTGTGTGATTATAGCTATCCCTTTCTGTTACTAATATGCCAGAGGCTCTTTGACATGGTTGAATGGGTATTTCCCATTTAGTCCTCACAAGTGCCTGTGAGGCAAGAAGTATTATTATTCTCACCTTGCAGATGAGGGGACTGGGGTGTAGGGGACTGAAGGCACTAAGTCACAGTCACACATCTGGCAACCTAATGAAGAGGACACATTCATGGTCTGCATATTATTGGTCCGCCTATGTGGCTGGACTGGGAGTTGGAGAGGTGCAGTCTATTCTAGTCTCTTGGTTTTTCTATCTCTGTGGGCTTAGGCAAGCCATTAAACTTTGCTTTGATTGTCTAACCCATAAAAAAGGGATACACCTATCTGCTGTATTTATCTCATAGGCTCTTTGTGAATATCAAATTGTAGATGTACTTTGTAAAGCATTGCATAACCAGTTGGCTGATTGGACTAGAGCTGACTCCCCTTTCAAACCCACAACACAAAGAAACTCAGCCAGCAGAGTTAGGCAACATCAGTGCCTGCAAAGGCCCATTTGCCTCCATTTAATTGTCGTGGAGAAATGGCTTGAACTCTGGTCACACCTGGGGTTCAGACATTCATAGATATGGTTGACAGACAGGACATATGGAAGCCAGATTGCAAGAGGTTGACTGACAGCCTCTACCCTTCAAAGATGAATCACCTTGAGAAAGAAAGGCATTTGGCATGGTGAGCTGGGCTTAGCAACATCCCTGGTTCTGCTAAGTCCACCCCATTCTACCAGGAACTGCTTAATTCACCACTCTGGAGGTCTAACAAGGGCTCTGGGGCTGAAAAGGGCTCTGACTGTAAGTGGAAACAGTTGCCTCACTGACCTCTGTAACACTGTGGGCTCAAATACCCTGTTAGAAGTGAATGTGACCTTAAAGCATTTTTGGCAGGAGAGGGTGGCACTGAGACAGTAGTGTGCAGGTTCCCAGCTTCTCCACCACTGGGCAGCAGGTGGAGCTGGTGCTAGCTGACTCCACCAGCCCGAGGACACAC